TTATGGATTAACAGTTTGAATTACAGCATCATCTTCAAGAATAAGGTTCTTAGCTTATGGTGCTGCCATCTACTGTCATAAAAATGAAGTAGAAAATTCTTGCATTGATAATTATTTTTGGTAATTTTAACGTTAGAAATCAATATTTCTGCCTCAAACCTAAAAGACATAATTCTTGAAATGATCTGTCTCATATATTTCATGCTATCACAACAGTAGTTTAAAGAAAATTAAAAAGATATTTTTATATTTTACACTATTTTTCACATACATAATGAAGATGTTTTAGTTAATAATAATAAACCAAATATTTGTATTTATAATTCTTCTCTTTAAAAAAAACAATGAAATTCAGAATAGCATTCTCAATAAGAATACTTAAGTGATAAGAGGGTTTAATTCACCGTTCACCGGAAGCAGTAAGTGTGAATGATTTTTGTGAAATTTTATGAATGCTGTTATTCCTCCTATGGATTTTATAAACTGTAGGAAACCAAAATATGAAACATTTATTGTGATTTAAATAACGCATTTTGAAGGTATACTCCACTAAAATTAATCAATTTCTGCAGATCAATTATTTTTTTGCACTCTGCAGCTATACGAAAAATTACAGGAAACTATGCACCCAATCATACTTCAATTTATTTACATTTCTATTAAAGATTCTTTCATTATCATAAAAGACTATTATCATAGTTGGCCACTGGTTATTGTATAGAATATTTACTGGTTATTGTAATCATAGATTTATGATTTATTTCATTAGCTTTATTAGAATTATTAGAATTCTATTCTTTCTATTATTAGAATAACAGCATATTAAAATTTAAATTTGTGATTTAAAACAATATTCTGTAATTTAAGTAAAATGAAGGAACTGGTTTAAATATTATTCATGTTTAGTTTACTAACGTCTTATGTTTAGTTTTTTTTTTAAACTTTGAAATATTGTTTAAATAAAATTAATAATTTCCTCAAAAGTGTTCGTTACCTTGTTTCTAACCTTCAAATTAATTAACTAACTTAATATCAGCGATATCAAACAGGAAGTTGTAAAATAATTAACAGAAGAAAACATTTTTCAGTCCCCTGCGGTTCATTAACAATCTAATGTCATATTGGTACAAGCCGTGTTTTTGTATATTTGCGAAACAATCCTGTCGAATATAGTGACGTATTAATTGGAATTTGGTATTTATGGTCTGACGTTAATTCATTTTAAATAATAATAATTTGCATTTTGCATGACAAATCAGGTCTTGATAATCTCTCGCCGACCCGATACATCTTTCTCTATGCTGCAATTTCATTGAAGAATTATATTGATTCTGTTATAGATTTAGATGTTAGCATACAGTGTCTACATCAATAAAATTGTTGTATATAGTCTTTATATCATTGATGAGTGATAGGAATTTTAAAAAAAGCTCTAAAAGTTTAAAAAAGAGTAACTAAAAACACTTGTAAAATGCATTTTGAGTTTTTAGGAGATATCCGTTGCTGTTGCAATAATGCACACTAGATGGCAGCACCATAAAAATTATTCTGGATATATTTTCAAATTTTTAAACTATCAATGAAATTTAAAATTAAATTACAAATATTTAGGAAAATTAAAGCTTTAGAGTATCTTTGCATAAAATTGGTGTACCTATTATGAGTGGCACATTAGTGTGATTGGTAAAAAAAAAAAAAAAAAAAAAAAAAAAAAAAAAGATATCATAATTAAATACCAATTTTGCCTACTTTGGGTACTTTATCTAACTTGTCAGCTCGATTTATGTATTGCGTTACGCTACAGCAGTGCTTCGCAACCTTTTCTCATTTGCGACGCACAAAAAAATCTTTCTGGAATTTCGTGGCACACCAAAGAGTTCCGAGTTATCAAGGAAATGCCGAAAAAATTCAAATGCTGACACACTTACAATCACATACACAACCACACAACAGTGAAATATATAAAAACATTTAAAATAGGCATTATTAAGGAAAAAAATTGTCATTGTGTATTAAATACATGATAAAAAATTGCAAAATGTCAAATACATGTATTTGATTGTGGCACACCTATATCCTACTCATGGCACACCAGTGTGCCGCGGCACACCGGTTGCGTAGCACTGGGCTACAGAATATACCAGTTCTTTAGTATGTCGATAATGTTGGCGAAGGACTGTTAACTTATTATTTACGTAGTTTTTATGTTTTCTCGTTTGGCTTTTACTTTGCCAAAATACTATTAGAAGCCTTTTCATAAATTAAATCGCAAAGGGCAACTCATGGCTCACGGCTCATCGAGTGACCCATTTCATAATTTGAAGTTTAAAAGTTCCTAAAGTAAAGTATAATATATAATGTTAAAATAAAATTATACATTATAAAAGGAACACTTAAAAATACATAAAAAATTAAACTGGAAATAACTATTAACAATGATATTATTGTTTAATTAGCAGCAATGAATATGCATTTTTATTTTTTTAAAAAAAGAACAATAATAACATAATTTCAAGCAGAAATCGATAAAATTGGCAACTCCAGTCCGCAATCCATAATTTTAAAAATAATGACTTTGCTATTTTGTCCGCATTCTATTTAACTAATAAATTTGAGTAAATATTTTTGAACACGGAAGTCATTAATATCGAAGAGAAAAATAAAGCTCATTCAGTTACGTTTTTTTTTATAATAATTATAATAATAAACATAATTTTTACGTGTACAATTTAAAGAGTATTGTAATTACTTTCTCAATAAAATTTATTTTTATTATTCAATAAAAAAGACTATTTTAATATGAAAATATCACTGATTCGAAACATCTTCTCAGTACTGGTTGATTTTGACCCGCAACTAAAAAACAATTGTCGACGCCTGGCATTGACAATTGATGCCGAATAATATTAATTTTTTTGGCTTCTTTCATATTTAAAATTCAAAGGGGCATTTAAGCAATCTTTCTTAAATGGAACTATTTTTAAGCTTTGACTTGGCAAAACGTTCGTTAACCTTTGTTTTTTTTACTTGAAATATTTATAAATTGCTTTTCCTTTGCTTTCAATGCTTGCTTAAAATGATGCTTGAAAGCATTTTTGATATTACAGTAAGACCCCGCTCAACGCTGTTTCGTTTAGCGCTGTTTCGGTTTAGCGCTCTTTTATTTCAATCCGGGGATTCCACGAAATTGCTCGCAGCATACGGGGATTCCCCGAAATATTATGCAGCGACAGGTTTCAAATACATATCCGAAAGAGTGTACTTGTATTTCTTGTTTGGTGCGGTATTGTACAGACATATTTTGAAGGGGTAAATGTGGAAGATGTCGAAGAAATAATTCAAGAAGCAGCGGCTAGTCTTTCTAATGATGAGCTCAAGGAATTAACTGAACAAGAAGAAAACAAAAATGTTGACATCAGTGATTCAGAAGAAGAGCAAAAAGAAATTTCGATGGGGTTTGTAAAAAGGAGTTTGTCTACCATAACTGAAATAATGGATCAATTCATTGAAAATGATCCGAATTTTGACAGGAGCTCAAAAGTAAGGCGTGGTGTTAGAGATGTTCTATCCGTTTATGAAGAAATTTTAAGAGAACAACGCAAAAGAAAAAGGCAAACAAAATTAGATGCTTTTGTCACAAAAAGGCAGAACACTGAAAACGCGGAAGGCTAACTAAATATGACTGACTTAGAATTTTATTTTTTTTTTTTAAGAATATTCGTTTTGTTATTTATATTTTTTTTTTATTTTGCAAGAATAATAATGTGGTATTAATTTGGGCTTTAAGAAATAAATGTTTGGTTTTATTTTTGTTAAAAAAACATACTTTTTAAATTTAATACCTAACCAATTTACTAGCCATCTTCCCCTAACCCTAATATTTACATGTAAATTAGCCTCGTTTAGCGCTGTTTCGCATTACGCTCTACTTTGATGGAACGTATCCCCCGCGTTAAGCGGGGTCTTACTGTATTTTATTCTTCAATGGCCAGACAGTCCAGGATGGGCTCTTGCCTTCTTCAATGGCCAGACAGTCCAGGATGGGCCCTTGCCTTCCTCAGAAACTAATTCCAAGCTCTTCTATCCCTGGCCATAGACATCCAATTTCTATGTTTTATTGATCGACAAAACTATTTACAAATTTAAAAATTCATAAGCTGACATTCCTTGCAAGTGGTTGTACAAAGTAAAGTTTTGTTAAACACAGCATTTAACGCCGTGTTTCCTCAAATGATCTTATATAACTGAAGTCGAAAATAAACAGAGCCGGTCGCTGATTTTGAATATTTCAGATGAAAAATTGCCTAATCGATAGCTACAAAATTTCTGGTTCAAATCAAATTAGAACCTACGATTTTATGTATTTTATAATGAAAAATCTGATATCCTATTCTAAAATTATTGTTTCATCAATATTTTGAATCACAGCCTTAGTTCTACGCTTCACTGCACTGCTAAAAATAGATACTGAAATTAAAACTTTAACACGCTTTATTTTTGGTAAAACTACCAATTATAATAATCTTTACAATGCAAATTACAAATTCGCCTCTATGCTATGCGTATATCCTTTTTCGAATAAGAGCTTTGAAACTTTATTTGAAGTCAGGTTTCTGAATAATTATTTTTTAACTATACAGAATATGAATTTTGTATGTTTGAGCATCATATATTTCCCCCAACGGCTTAGATTTTAGCATAGATTAGAAAACTATACATTTGTTCTCTTTATAGTAGTTAACACTTAGTTCTTTACAGGAAGATGACATCCCAAATGCTGACTCCGTCAAGGGTTATGTTGGATTAAAAATCCACTTTTAAAGAATGTATTCTGAAGATCGCTTGGAAAGCCAACAAAGCATTCGTGAGTATTTAATTATTAATCAATTATTAATTCATTTAAAAATATCCTATCGAAATGCCTTTTATATCTCACAATGATCTGTTCTTTATATTAATAATATATAATGAGCCTGTATATCGTAATACAAGACACGGCCTTTATCATAATACAAGACATTTATTACGTTTACAAGACAGTTATTATCTTTACAAGATCGTAGTAAAGTCTACAAGACATTTATTACTTTTACACGATCGTAATAAATACATACGAGACATTTATTATCGAGAAATTTAAATACCCTCTTTCGCTTGCCAGCAAGTACATGAGAGGATTTAAGGGCTTTTAAATTTTAGAGTCTATTGTTTTATGCAGTTCATTGGCACCAAAATCCAGATCAGTCTTAAAACTCGAATCAAGGTCTGACGGCATTTTGGCGGGAAAGAGATTTCCGCATGACACATGTGGTTGTATTACTAAGGTCCTTCCAGGAGTTAGCTTTCACATCTTTATATATGATTTATGTTTCTTATATGCACTTTAAAATCTATGTTGATTCGCATTATTTGTCCAAGAAATGCTTGCAAAAGTCGTGAATATGGAAATATGAGTAAGTAATAATTGCTTGAAAAAAGTCTTCTTTCACAATATTAATTACTGTAGCATCATGCAGTCAGACAAATACTATTTATAGTTAGTAACAGATAAGTAAAATAAGGAGAGTCAACACTTTTAAAATAGCTTGAATTCGCCAGAAATGTTTCTGAAAAGGAACGTTTGCAAACAATATTCTCAAATCTCAATTGAGCAAAGACTTAGGGGGCAAATGCTTTTCATATTTCTCAAATATCAATTGAGCAAAGACTTAAAGGGCAAATGCTTTTCATATTTCTCATTTGGAAATTCGAAGATGCCAAGTCAAATTTTCGATCCTATCTATGTGCACATATGCATTACCTGAATTTAAACTTTTATAGGTCACTCAAGAATACACAACAAATTATTCAATATCAATTTCAACGATTTTTGACTGTTCCTAATGTATTAAATAAGTATTTTTCGCCAGGATACAACAGACATTTTAAATCATCTTCGTTAGTAAGCATTATCTCAGCTTTTGAAATTCTTCGGCAGTTGAAAGGTTTCGATGTTCCGTTTGTAGAAGACTTACTATGTTTGCTTCAGATCTTTCGAAATTGTCAAGCCTAGTGTGTTCTTCCATTTTTTTCCATAATTACATGGAAAATTATTCAATCATGAGAACGCATCGCTTATATATGAGGGTGGACCTTCGTACTGTGGAGGGTGTTCTTCCTGTGTCGCAACCGTCCCGCCCGTTTCACGTGGATCCAAAGAAACATTATCGAATTCGGATTCGTCAGTGTAGTGAATGTTTGTTGTGGGACGATCAAGATCGCTTTCATATTGTATGCTGTGAACACAGCAATTGCCATTCTGACAATCATGAACAAGATCATCGCTTCTTAAGGCATCATATTCATCGATGTCAGGATGAGAATTCGAACAACAAGCGTCTTTCATTCTCTTGAGGAAAAGGAAAGTAACACCTATGAAGAAAAGTGACACGAAGAAGGTGTATACTCCAATGAGGATGTACTGGTAATCGGTTTCGTTGATGCTGTAGACATCAGTCGTAGGTGAAGTTGTTAATGTAGCTGCAAGGTCACTTGTAGTAAAATTTCCTGAAATAAAAATTATATAAATGTAATAACAATAATTGCATTAATATGATATATAATTTGAAAAATTATAATACAGTAGACTCCCTCTTAACCGACCTAAATAGGACCGGGATTAAACAGGTTAAGCGAAATTACGGTTAAAGCGGAGAATTTAAAAAAAAAAAAAAAAACCGTTATTTTAAATTGATGGAAGTGCACTTTTTTGTAGTGGGGCGATTAGACATATGCACCCCTCGGACTTCTAGGTGCTTAATGAGAACTTCCTGTTTTGTTCAGATTCAAAATGGACAGCAGAACTTTGAAGAAATGTGCAGCGGAAACCCCCTCGTGTGGTTTCCGGCAATAAGGGACTAATTATTCTCCTTCCAGATTTCTTAAAGAGAGAGCTTTGTGTAACAAGTTTTTGATGCTGTAAACGAGAGAAAACGGACGCATTTTGGCGTCCTCGCCGCGCCAGTGGCTTTTGTTTAATTTATGGCTGTAATGATTCAGTTATTTTACTATTTAATCAAGAATTTCTAATTAAGTTTTTAAAATAAATATTTTAAAAGACAACCTGTCTTTTCTTGCACCCAACACGGGTATTCTGACGTTACAGTAGTTAAAGTAGTCTTGTAGTTAGATGTGTCAGTTTATGAAAAAAGGTTTACATACCATTATTAGGAATATTTAAAAATTTCCGGCACTTTTTCTGCTGATGGCTGGAAATTTGGCGATTTGTTGCTTAATTTCGCCATTTTTTCTAAAGTATCACATCAGTGAAGTAAGCTGATGTCCTTTGTTCCATATATCATAAAGCCATTTCCAGTACTTTTACGCCATCAATATGCGATATGACAGAGGTCGCATTGTCATCCATGTCGGAGACATCGATGACAATGCGATGTCGGAGTATCGTCATCGTCATCGTAAACCACATCAGCGAACGCTTCGATGATGTCGTCATCTGACAAAGTTTCTTTCTGCTCTATAGTGCTTACAGCACCGGCAGGGACTTAACGTTAATATTTTTAAACGCTCTTGGCTTTTTAGCTCTTCTTTTATTTTTGAATTAAGATAAGTGTGCGATACTGTTATTATTTTTAAACTCTTTTGATTTTTGGCTCTTGGTTCTTATTTTATTTCTGAACTATATGAGAAGTGTGTAATACCGTTAATGCACAAAGTTTTTCGTTTCTTAAAGTTTATTTATTTTTTATTTCATATTTAAAATATATAATTAAGGAATTTTTAATTTTCTGTAATTCTTTTGCTTATTTTTTGGATTTTCGAACTTAACTAATTACGGCCGGTTAAAGCGGAGATCTGATTAAACGGAAGCCGGTTAAGAGGGAGTCTAGTGTATAGATTTTAACATATTTCACCATAACTGTATCACCGTAGGTTCTATATAGTGAGGGATTTTATAGAACCTATACAAAATGAATTATCTTATTTAAAACATGCTGAGCTAGTCGCTGTTATCAATTCGGTAACACATTTTTGAGGTGGTGTAAAAACAAATATATTGATACTAGATATGAGTCTTGAACTCCAGTTCATGCTTTAAAGAACTATCTGTGACGCCTAACTAAACATATTTCATTTGCCAGCTGCATTCGGTTTTTGACATTCTTTAATAATTCTAACGCTATGTATGCACTATAGTCGACTATAAGGAACATGCACTACATTATAAATGCGAATTTAATTAAGTGTTACAAAAACACTGAACTTAAAGATTAGGTAGAATACTAACTCTTGACGACAGTTAATTCTAATCTAATACATTCTTTTCGCACTTAGACGAACGTTCGATACTCAGCACGCATTCGAAACATTGCTGAAAAAAAGAAACAGTATTTTATGTATCAAACATGAAACCTTAATATTTTTTGTTGAAATATTTGTAATCGCATTCTTACTGGTTAAAAGAAGTATAGCTTTCTGTCACGTCCGATACATTCATTAGCTTTCAGCCAGGTCCGAGTTATCCTGAAACTTAATCCCATTCTGTATGTTATTTTTGATTGGTTATGTAATGTGTCTTGTTTACGATTTGTTTAACCATGATCTGTTGTAAAGTTATATATATGACCTCTGTAACCGCTTATCGCTGCTAATGCTTGTACTTACTTATCTCTGCTTGTATTACTCTGCTTGTGTTTCTTTGCACGTAACACTGCGTGTATCTCTGCGTATCTCAATAATAAAATATTTGCTTTGCGAACCACGGCATTTTCTATGTTTAACATTTTTAAAATTCGAAATAGCTACGCTTTTGCATAAAAATTAATCAAATCACAATGCTTTTAGTGTACAGATGTTTTTAAAGCGAAGTAAACATCTAGTTAATTCATAATACTTGCTATAGAATGTAATATTTCTATGAAATGGGGATCTTTTACGCTACAACTTCAAAGAAAAACTGCATATGACGTTTACTCCTTTTTAAATTATTCCACATATTCTGCAGCCTTTAGCAAAATGTCTCAATATGCAAAACTAAAAAGACAAATTTGAGTGATTAACTTTACTAGCACGATGATGGCAAAAACAATCTTACGCTAAGCGTAATAGATTCTTTCTTGATGGTATAACTACACACATAAGCTAACCTTTTTTTTTAAATGGTCACACATGTACCAAAAGTTATGATATTTGAGTTATAGTGTGCATTAGGTCTAAGAAAATGAATAATCCTCTGACGACTTGCCAAATTTCATGAAAACAGACGATGTTTACAATACTTTTTACCCATTTTAAATGGATTTTGATGGAAAAAAATGTTCTAAACGTTTTAAAGAATGATTCGACAACAAATTGTTATTTTGATGTAGTGGAGTATGTTTTGCTTTGAAAACTGTGTATGTACGTATGTTTTAGATGAATGGTCAAAATCAGAAACTTCCAAGAGAAACATGTTATCTTGTAATTCAGAAATATTTAAAAAACCATAAAATGTAAAATAAACGAAGTGGCTTTACGGTATGTAGTTCAAAAATTATGGGAGTACATGACCTTTTTGTAAGAGTCTTGTAGTACATCAATGAGATAACATTAAGGAAGATATAAATAAAACTACACGCCGAATAAGACACAATAACACGCCGAAACTCAATTAAGACACAATAACACGCTGAATAAGTACTAATTCAGAAGTTAAACAACAAAAATCAGCGTTATTTTTTCAAAATTTTCACAGGACTAGTTTCGATGGTTTTACCGAACCCATCCTCAGCTGCAAAACCGCAAATTTGCGCCAATTTTGTCGCCAAATATCCAAACGAGCGATTTCTCGTCAAATGTGGCAACCCTGCCTTCCTTTTTTCCATTTTATGGCAACCCTAAACCTGCTTTGCGGGGAAGCTATCTTACCGTACCTGAACATTTCGTAAGAATATCTAGAGCTACGATAGGTAATGTTATCAACAACAAAGGAAGAAAACGTCAAAATGGGTAGCTTCGAATGGAAAAATTGTTCTAAATACTTATCCAAGGGAAAAATAGAATGCTTTAAATGTTGAAAAAGTAAGATCTTTAATGTTAAAAGAAAATTCAATTAATCAAACGGCATTAGAAAATTCATTAAAATGCTCTGTGTGAACTGTAAATAAAGAGACTAGTGCTGATTTAAATATTAAAAAGCAGAAAGAACGTAATGTGCATCGTCTTCCTCCACGACATGTAGCAGAACGCGCTGCAGAATTCCTTATGAGAAACATTTATCCGAACAAAAATGGAAAAATATTGTCAAAATAGACGAATCTTCGGTGTACTTAAATGCAAGGCTGTAGAGTCGGAGTCGGAGTCATGGAGTCGGAATCAGAATCGGGCAGATTTTGGGGTAAAAGGAGTCGGAGTTGGAGTCGCTAAAAACAGGTCGACTCCGAATCCAGTTTTCGTTGGACAGTTTCAATTTGAAATGAAATTAAAATGAATTGAAAAAAATTAATGACAAGCTGAGTTATTATTTTTATTTACGGACTGTATGCATTAATAAATAGTTCTTTTCTATTTTACTGACATATTAATAAATAAATATAAGGATGGAATGTGATATTTGACATTAGCAATTAAACTGATTCATTTAGTTGCTAATCTCGCTGGTAAATTTAGGTAAGCAGCAATAGCAGCAAGAACTCCCAAAATGGATGCCATTCTTAGAAAGCGAGCAGGAAAAAGAGCAAATATTGATCCAGCAACGCGATAAAGAAGTACATATTTGATGATAAAGAGTTTTTAGAATTAAAAACTTCTTAGAAGAAGTAGATACTCCTAATGTTTCACTAACAGAAAGACTGTGGAATGATCTTGTAGAATTGGAAACCCTTCTTTCCAAACCGTATATAGCCACAAAAATGCTGCAATCTGAAGAATATACAGGAGGCGAGAATGAGGAACCAAGAGCCGTTAGATATAAAAATGAAAAAATACAAAGAAGATTTCTACACGGCCTTTGAAGAAATAGAGAAATAAAATTTCGCTTTCAAGACACCACTTTTAAAACTTATAAAAATCTATCCTGAAAAGTTAAAAGAATTAACCCTAACAGCTCTTCCTCCTACTCAAGTTAGTGAGGAAAGACTCTTCTCAGCTCTGAAGTTAATCAAATCGGATGTATGAGCCTCCAACAAAGAAGATCTTGCCGAAGCTATACTGTTTCTTAGAAATAACGAATGCCAGTTTTTCTATTTCATAATAAATGTTAATTAATATAAATAATTTGCTATGCCATCAATTTTTTCCTGTAGCATCTATTACTTCTTTTATATTAAAAAAATAAGCTATAACCCACGCGTATATGTTTACATATATGAGGGAGTCAGAGTCGGAGTAATTAAAATTCCAGGAGTCGAAGTCGGTCATTTTTCCTACCGACTCCACAGCCCTGCTTAAATGATTAAATAAAAAGAGAATCATTTATTATCATCAAAGAGGAGAAAAAAAATTTTAACACATTGTTCAAGGAATCTAAAGAAAGTTTTTCTAAGGGATTTATGATTGTTGCTGGCTTTTCATATAACGGCAAATTAAAAATAAAGATAAGGGAAAAAGCTATTAAGCTCAACTCCACATATTATCAAAAACATATTTTAAATTCAGTTTTCAAATATGAAATACCTTCTCTTTAGACATCAGTAGAACTGCATTAAGACAAAGCAATCAGCAACACGTAAAAATCCACTGTTAATTTTCTGAAAAAAAAAAATAAATAAATAAATAAAAATGGAACAAGAAATGGGTATCAAGCCCATAACCTTCATTTGCATCCCTACCAAATCTTCTAACCTATCGCCAATAGAATTTTGCTCTTTCGCACTTTTAAAAATGGTTGTCCAAACGTCGACTTACAACCTCTTTTGACTTTGGAAAGCTTCGAGTGCAATGGGATAAAATACCTCTTCCCATACTGCAAAAAGCCTTTATCGTCTTGAAAATTATGGTGCACAAAGTTCGATTATAAACAATGCAAAAATTACTTTGGATTAATTTTACATTTTTAGGAATGCGACGTCAGTAAAACGTCAAAGAATAAAATATTACATACACACACACACACACACATATATAACAGCTGCCAAATCATGTCACACGTAAACTGTTGCTTGCTTTACAAAGTCATGTGAATTGTTGCTTGCTTCTGAGAGTCATGTGTTATCACGAACTATTGGAATCATTCGTTATCTGTTAACGGCGTGCAGCTTTAATATGGCGAAAAGTAGAAACAGTGACCCTTCCAAAAGGGGGTGAAAGTCTTTTTTTTTAAAAAACCTTGGCGAAAACAAGTCATGCAGACCCTGATGATTGCTTATGCTATGACCTATGTATGACCTTTGATTTTAACGGTTCCCTAAATCATCTTATACTTCCTTATAATTTGATATTTACCTCATGAAAATTTATAAATTAACATTCGCAACCTTGAATAAATCTTATGCCTAAGTCTTTCAGATCAGTTTAAACGAAGCCTGCGTATTTCGGAAATTGCTAAATTAATCAATAAGGCTCTTGGTGCATGCAAAATACAGTCAAAAAGAAGTATAATTGTTATAAAAACAAAATGACCTCAGACCTGGGACAAATAAAATAATTAATATCACGATTTAAACAGAAATAATAAGTTCCAAAATTCTTAGAGCTTCCTAAAGATCTAGCTAATATCTTTTGACAACGCTCAATAAAAAATAGTCACGACACAAAATTAAAAAACAGAAAATTCTACTTTAATATTCTGCAACAAAGATAGAAGAATAGCTCGTGCTTAGAGCTCCTGACAATATAATTCGATACAAAGCAAATTAAGGTATCCCTCGTTTTGTATATGTTCGCTTTGGTAAAATTTCTTTGCGAAAAACGTAAATCAGGATCTTATTCTGTTATTTCTGTTCCAAAGACGATTTTCGTTTTTACAGCCCAACCCCCCCCCCGGAAAAAAAAAAAAAAAAAAAAAAAAAAAATTCTGAAATGTTTCAGATTTTAAATTACGTCCAAAGGGGCGTTTTTTAACATTTTGTGTGTTACCTTTCTTTATTAAATATCATGTTCCTCGCACTTAAACCATAAGATCCAGTGGCAACAGCAATATCGCAAAATAGTTTTTAAAAAACGAGCATATCTTTAGAATTTCCGATACAGAGACTCACGCGCTGGAGATAAAAATGTTTTTTCTGCACAACGTTGCCATTGCTCGCTTTGAAATCCTTGAGTTTGTTGATCAAAAATTCGTCAAAGTTTTAAAAAATAGGAAATCGATCATAAAACAAATTTCAAATTTCAAATTTGGTCTTCCACATGCTCATATTCGTTGGAGGATTACGTTATTCAAAATTCGGTGACTCTATGTACCGTTGTTTTATCACAATACGAGAAATATACATACATTTATACAGATTTTTCATTATTTAATTTCTTCAAATATAATGCAGGACTCTAAAATTTTGTGGCAACAGTTTGAAAAGTGAACCGACATTTATGAGTCCGACGCAAAATGCCAAAACGAAACTAATAGTCCTTCGGGATTCAAATCCCTTTGGACTAATAAAAATATGATTCAATGTTGTTATTTGTAATGATTGCAGAAATGTGTGATTAATTATGATCCAACATACGAGTTTAAGGCTATTTTTGCAGACTATTTGATTGCGCTAGAAAGAAATTATCAAGTCACTTAGCAAACAAATATACCATATTTAACATCAGCCACTAGGACAAGTAGGCAGATGAAATATAGATCCGGTGATCAGATAGATATAAATGATAATAATTTATTACATTCTTTCTTTTGCATCATAAGCCCTGTATTCAGTAGTGAGAGCACTATTGAATATTCATGGTTCACCATATCTTCATCACTTCCACCATATAACGCTTCTAATGTGCTCACTTTTCAATCTAGGAAGCTGAAATAATATTATACATATGGTACTTTGGCTGTGGGTTTGCTTTAAGATGTTTGGATTAATGTGACCAATGCAGATAGTCTAAGGAATCTCAGGGCAATTCCCAGCAGGGGTGCAGCGAGCAAAAGTACATTGGAGCCAAAAATCAGGGGCGGCCGGACTCTCGCGACACCACTCTTTAATATTTTTAATTCATTAAAGTCATTGTAAGTACTTGTCTTATCTAAGTACCTTTCATACAATTTGTCATATGTAAGTACTTAGTAAGTAAGAGATAAAATTTTATTAATCATTGAGCTTTTATTTTCAAATTTTGGGGCGGCAGTCTTAGGAAAGTACGCAGGCAGCCAATGGCCTAGGAATTACTTTGAGGAGTCTAATTACAAAGTGCCAGGAACTTCCTTTCCCGAGTTATCGAGATTGAAGAGATATTTGCATATAGACCAAGACTTAATAGCATTTAATATAAAAACTTTAAGTCTCTTCTTGAGCATTGCAGCTTAACGAAACTAAAACTCACATTACAATGATAATCCTAAGAGGCACCACAATTCACTACTTTTTATCAAACGAGCCATAAAATCTTTAGCTTTTCGATTTGGGCAGGACTGTTCTCGTCATTATGTACTCCAGCATCAATAATATAAGGCTGTCGCTTCCAGTGTTTCCTGCAGCTTGTTTGATCTGCAGCTTCTGTGGGTAGAACACAACTCAGACGGTAGCAGACATCCGACATAAGACAACTGCAAGCTACCGACTGATTGACCGACTACCAGTTCCAGTTAACATCTTAAGGTGACTCATACACCTTAAACCCCTCATGATCTTCGAATATGTGACTGTTTCAAGAATTGAGATATTTTATTTATTTTAAAAGCAATTATTTCCAACTTTTTACAGCTGACTACATAATACAGCTGCTTTGGAAACTAGTAACCAGAAAGTTTGTGTTGCCACAAATATTTTTGTAATTTAATCCTCTTTGTGACAAAATATTCGCCATGTTTCCACCTTGCTCGCACGATATTTTAAAATGGCTAATGGTACATCTTGAATTGGATGGAATTCTTTATATGGGCACTATTTTTCTAACTGAAACCAACAATGATGAATATTTTAATACTGAAAATTTTGTGGACGAAAACATTACAATTTTTGTAATAAAATACATTTTATAAACTCAACTCAAAATAAATAAAAATTTAACACGGAATTTTTAGATTTTTAGGTTCACAGTAGTTTCCAATGTTATAAAGCTATATATTAAATATGGAATTTAAATTATGAAACAGAATGTTTTAAACTGCGCGCGCAATTTGGAAACATGACGAAAAATGTTGTCACAAAGCGGATTAAATTCTAAAAATATTTGTGGCAACACAACTTTCTGATGACTATTTCAGAAGCAGCTATATTTGTAGTCAGCTGTAAAAGTTGGTAGTAATGCTTTTAAAATAAATAAGTTATCCCAATTTTTACGACAGTCATCTATTCGAACATCTTATGGGTTTTAAGGTGTATGAGTCTCCTTAAATCCCTCAAGATCTTCTCAAAATCTGTATAACCCTTTGGAGAGAACGAGGTCATGACTAAGTTCGAAGTGATAGGAGAATATGCAAATTGTTATAACATATGTTAGTTCTCTTTATATGGTTTGCTTTTTTTATCATATTATTAACTTTCTACCGTTATTTTAGGTTTTAAACGACGAATAGTATGATTTTCTAGTTTCCTTTTTAAGACTTCATAAGGTATTTTCTCTCTTCTTTCTGCATGCCTTCCTGGTGTAGTCGTCAGCACATTCGGAGCATACTCGAGAGATCCGTGATTCGGATTCCGGCAAGGGCACTGCTCAATTTTTCACGTCTCCTGCTTTCAAAAATAACCTAATATCTCTACAGTAGCGCCAGAAGGGAAAACGATGGTGGATGATGATTCTTCACCACAAAGATTTGGCGATTGGGACCCCTAATACCCAGTAGTCCTTTAAAAGAGGGAGTATATAAGGTGTTTTCTCCCTCCTTCCAGCATGCCTTCGTGGTGTAACGTTTAGCACACTCGGTGCGTATCCGAGATCCAGGTTCGATTCCCAGCGAGGGCATTGCACATTTTTTATATCACTTGCTTTAGAAAGAACTAATGTCTCTACAGTGGCGCTGAAACTAAAAAGATGGAGGGTGATGATTCTTCAACACCAGGACTTGGCGACTGGACCCCATTATCCTCCGTCGCTCTTTGAAAAAGAGCAGTGTATAAGGTATCAGTATCAGTAGGGGGCACAACGCCACCCATCTAACCAAACAAGTTGCTCTTATGATCATAACAGGCCGCGCCCATTTCAACAAAGGAAAATAATTAAATATAAAATATAAGGTATTTTCTCTCTCCTTCCTGTGTATTAGATATTTGCTTTCTGTGTATAAGGTATTTTCTCTCTCCTTTCTGCATGCCTTCGTGGTGTAATGGCCAGCACACTCGGCGTGTATTCGAGAGGTCCAGGTTCGAGTCCCGGAGAAGGCATTGCACATTTTTCATGTATCCCGCTTCAAAATAACCTAATGTCACAGCTTAGGATCACTCAAGCTTCTCTTCATATATTAATGAGAATACCGTCTTCGCTTTAAGCCACTTTGTTTACAAAAAACATAGGATTGTCTATTTTCATAAAACGAGGGAAACTATTTTCGACGATTTTTAAAACCGTATGCTGCTTAGAGCAAAGCACTTATCCTGCCTAAATTTTAATAATAAGCATTAAAGAAATGTTTACCTAAACGCAAAATGAACACTTCCTT